AAATTCCTAATTAAACAACACTCATCAACAATATTCCTAACTAATTTATTTTTTTAGGCTAGGCTATGGGATTGTGGGCAATATGCTGGTCCTAACTAATTTATTTTTTTTAGGCTAGGCTATGGGATTATGGGCACCATGCTGGCTGGGCTATGGGATTGTGGGTCAGCATGGGCAATTTGTTGGCCCGTGAAATACTGGCAGATTGTGTATAGTAATCGCCGTCTTTTTTTATGTGCGCTTTTGAATCGAGCCTAAATCTCATCTTACTTTAATCTTAATTATTAATTAATTATGAGGATGGATTAATCATGCCAGCATCTTATTGAAGAAAATAAACTTTTAATTAGATGAAGAAGCCTTTAGACTTCACATACTACTCATTCACTTTAACAAGTTTTGTTTGCAACATAAAAATTGTCAAGATTATTTGAGCCTTACATTCAAACTCTACAAATTAGTTCCCATTCTCTGGTTCAATTGATAATAAAGTATAAAAAATATTAAAAACAAAAAGATTGTCATTATCCCAATAATTTCGTAAGAAAAAAATTCTTGCAATAGTTAAATAAAACAATAATTGAAAAAAATTAAAAGGCAATCTAAAGACTATATAAAGGAAAATAAAAAATTAACATATACTTTTTCAAAAACTAAAGCTATAACATAACTAACGTAATACAAATTCAGCTGGTGGTTGGACCCAAATATAAGGAGGTAAATATTTGTGCCAAGGTTTGAATCGATAATATTTTCCCACCTTTCCATCTTTCATGTTGAAAAAGCCAATATCTCGAGGGCCAAGTGGCCAATATTCAGTAGCAATATAATGATCATCGGTGAAATATATAGAATTAGGTTGACCTTCAGGAAAATCCAAAGCTGAAACAGCTAAAGTGTGATTATCACCGACAAACACTACGTCACCGTTCATGTTTTTTACTTCTTTCTCTAACAGCTTACCAGTTTGATCATCCAAAACCAACTTGAAAACTTTAAAATTCTTAGTAAAATGAGCACAATCATGATAGCGTTCGATATCAATTTCCTTTTTAACAGAGAATAGATCTCCCGTAGACGATTCAACAAGATATGCGCTATCAACATTATCCTCTACCATTTGACATGCCGGCATTAGTATCTTCACATTTGGTAATTCCAAATTGTCATCAAAATCACCATTAACATCAAAAGAGACGATCAAGCTTCGAGTTCCAATAGCATAAGCTAAATTTTTATAAAAAATAACATCACTGAAAGCTGTTAGATGCTCACTCAGATATATCCAGCTTTTCTGTTCGGATTTATAAAAGGCTAATCTCCATCTAAGGCCATAGATAGCCACAACCACATAACTGTCCGGATGCGATAAAGGGTCTGCTGACAAAATAACCTTATGAACATCATATTGGTGTGATGCTGATCTCGGATTAACATCAATCTCGGGGAGATCAATTGTGATCCCATTCTTAAAAGGATTTAAGAGAGTTATGACCATATCCTTGTCTACAGCAGCTAACCATCCATGAGAAGAACCACAAAATCTCTTGGAATGAGACTCGGGTAACTCAATATTGCAAAATTTTGTTTTGATCTGTAGATTGCATAATTGTCGAACTCTGTTGCTCATTCTTGTTGGAATCAACAACATGGGAACCATATTAGGTGATGATTGCCTTTTCCAGTCGAGAAAATTATTGAAGACGAAATACCAATGCTTACAG